ATAAGGCAATTTACAAAAGCTCTGTTAAGCTCTATTATTATCCAAGATAGTTTAACACACCAGAACTGTACCATCAGGCCTTCACTCAATAGTCTTCTGAAGATTTATATAAGAGCAAAATCGCAGGGAAGAAATATTTTTCAACAAATAATCAAATATGCAGCTTACAATGCCTGTATATTTTGAGGAATTTCTCCTTTATATGAAGGCTAAATCCTTGTAATCAATCGGATTCAACATTATGAGTAGTTGTGATCAGCAATAGCGGAGTGTGGACAACCAAAGGAGCTGGATCCTACTGTTTCTTCATAAAAGGTCAGTGGCAGTCTTCAATGGCTTAGCCCATGCAGCCAGTCACACTGTCCTGGATGTGAACTCATGTAGTTATTGTGTATACTGTGGCCCCAGGAGAGAAATCACCATTTCTATAAGATCATAATTGCTCTTTTAATCACTTGTCTGCAAGCCACTATGGCTCAAACAGGTCACCTACACTAGTCTTCCTGCCATAAATCCATTATAAAATGGATCCTACAACCAAAAACAGAGAGGGAGAAAGAGGTGGGGGGAAGGAGAAGGGGAAGGGAAAGGGGAGGAAGAGGAAGAGGAGAGAGAGGGAGAGGTAAAAGAAAAAAAATTAGAGGAAAAAAGAATGGAGAAAAATTTGTCAGGGCAAATTAAAGGATGAGTAACATACAACTTAAAAGGTCACTGTACCAATCTAATAATGACAGCAGCCTAAATTAGGTAGCAGTAATAAGAATGAAAAAGGGGAGTACAATGGGGTGGGAAGGAGTGGACACGAGATAACAAAGGGGAGAAGGGGCTGGCACTTAATTGCATTTGGTAGAGTGGGAGCCCACTGGAGAACTATTAAAGTGACTCAGATTTTAAGTTTGGCTACCTGGAGTAGTCAATCCCTGTCCTCAAGGAATTTAAAATCTGTAATCTGGTTACAGCTAGAGATTTAGATTTGGTTAGGGAGTGATTCTACCAGAAATTCCCCCAAAGCTATGGGAAGAGATAAGCTCTTCAAGAAAGAACAAAGACCAAAAGAATCCCTACCAATTTAAGAACAGAAATTCTAAATATCCCAAATACTAAAAGCTATTCGAAACATTAACATCAAGTGCTAAAAAACAACCTAACAAAATATGTACTGGCTTTTTAAAGAGGATGTACCTTGATACATTGAAATACATTTCTCCACAAAGAAAGTGTTGTGATCATATATGATATTGTATTAAAGCACACAAACTTTTAACTTGTCCTTCCTATTCCAACTACCTCTTTTATAGAGGTATTCTAGCTAATCAATTACGAAGGAATGTTAGAATTAAAGGCACAGTTAAATTATTGCCATTTGCAAACCACTAAAGAAATAACGGAACTAGGCCATCAATATAGCAGAATGAGGGACAACCAAACATCATACGCCTCCTGATGGAAAAATACACACCACCACCTATGAATTATATTTGCCCTCTCCACCACACCATGCCTCCTCTCAGAAATCCAACCTCAATCTATCTACAAATGTACAGAAAATACGAGGGATAGGAGAACATGTTAAACTAGGACATTTTAAATCTATACCAGAGGGACATTCAACAAAATCCAGAATGAGGAAACTGCAGAAAAAATAACCCGGTTCCATCAACAAATAACTTACGAGGAAAATAAGAGAGAAAAGGGGAACCTGTAGTTTAAAAGACATACCAACCAAATGTAATTTGGATCCCAATCAAACAGACCACTTACTTTGAAACAATTTAGGAAAATTTGAATACTGCCTGGTTATTTGGTGATGTTAATGCTTAAAGGTGGGATAATGGTATTGTGGTTATGGTTTTTTAAGAGTCATATCTTCTAGAGATATACTGAAATATTTACAGATGAAATGGTATCTATGTTTTGCTTCACAATAATCCAGTAGGGGGCAGCAGGGAGTAAGTAGGAGTACAGATGAAACAGTAACGGCTGTTTGAAACTTCAATTGGGTTTGAAACTTTCCATAATAAATTATTTAGAAGGGAAAAAAATCACTATCAATAACAGCAAAACCACAGAAAGGACAAAAATGGATTTGAGTTTTGTTTCCAACCCTTACAAATTGAACAGCCCTGGGCTAGTCACACAACCTCTTAATGTCCACATTGGTTAAATGGAGAAAAATAATAAACTCATTTGCTCAAGCTAGAAACCTGGGAGATATTTTTAACTTCTCTGGCTTCCCCAGTCTCCCACATCTGGTCTATCACTGAATCCTGTCTGTTCCCCTCTCTCTTCCATCTTCCCACTATTGTCCATCTTGTCCATCACTGTGGTCTCACAAAACTCCAACAGCCTCCCTCCAACCTGTTCTCCACTTTGTATCCAGAGTGATATTCCTAAAATTCAAAATCTGATCATGCTATTCCCAGCCCCATTTAAAACCATTAAACTGCTTCATTTAGCTTCAAGACAGGAGCACTTCCTTAAGTTTTTTTTACCTAGTTCCTTCCCTATTTCCTTAAGATGACTAATAAGGCCTTTCATTATCTGATATTGTCTACTTCCATCTTTCCCCATTCTCTCTGCTCCCTCTTCATGCTTTAGCTTTGGTGAAATTCTATACGTTTTTCTAATGTACCCTGTACTCTGACTGTAGCTTTAGTACTCATGTCGGTAATGCTCTTTCCACTATCACTCCCTGGCCTAGCTAGCTCCTATTCATCCTTCAATTCTTGGGTTAAATAGCATTTCCTCGGAGAGGCCTACCTTTGCTTCCATACTAAATTGGGAGTTTTCTTACACCTACATAATACAGTATTTGTTCCCAAGAGAACCTGTACTTTCTCAATCATATACTCAATACTTGTTTGTAAAGAGTACTTGTTCTGGTAATTTTTCCAGTTACACCATAAACTCTGGGAGTGACAGGGCTAGAACTTGTTCATTGCTGAATCCTAGGTCTCTCTGAATCCTAGTGCCTGGCAGCCAATAATAAATCAAGTCGCATCTCCCTTGTCCTCTAACAAAATGAGATTGGCCATGTAGGCATTTACAGGGACCTAAATCCTGCATAGGCATGCATATTATGAAGTGGATGTAAAATATAGTGGGAATGAAGGATGTAAGAAGTTGGGAAGTTATTATTCAAAATAACTTTTTTGGCATGAGATAATTCATATTTATATTTATAATTTTAGAGAACGCACAGGAGCGCCGAACTCACTAAATGGGAGTCAAAAGACACATCATCTCCACCCAACCATTACTAAGCTTTCAGAACTAAGATGAGAAGTCACCTACCCTCTCCAACCTTAGCTTCCTAATCTATAAAATAAGGGAAACTGACTAGCTGGTCATTAACATCTTTTCCAGAGTTATATGCATTAATATTTAAAAGGCTAAAAATATGTAAACTATTGAAACACTGATCAGTTGGTTCATCCTATGGTGGCATGATCCTTTTTACTTTTTAATCTGTTTAGGTATGCTATAGCCTATTATGTTAAGCTTACAACTAAACCTTTGAACCTATTCAGCTATAAAGATCTCAGGTAATGCTCCCCAGACCATTAACTTGCATTTTTAACAAGGAGCACTGCAATCCAATGAAAGAACAGCGTCTATCTAATCCCTGAATTACTGAAGTGCAACTTTTAATACTTACCCAATACTTGTTTTAAGGGCTAGATTTCTTAAATTCTTTATTATATCTATGGCAATTTGAAGGTAAAATTATACCCTACCGTATAAAACTCGGATTTATAGGTATATTTAGTGCCTAACTAAAAAACTACACAAAAATACATACTCTCTGCATCACCTCACTGGTCTGGTAGCTGACATCAAAACTGCTTATTAATAGCTAATTCCTACTTATACTCTCTCAAACTCTCACACAATTCAGAGTTCACCGTATCACTACATTCCTCTAGTAACTATATCCACATTTGTTTTATCAGGGCACTGAAGTGTACACATTTTACTTCGAAACCAGAATAATTTTTGAAAAAAAATTTCAAAACTAGTTCTGACAAATAAAGTAGCTTGTCAACATTTTACTGTTATCAGTAGATGCCTAGTTTATAAGCAAATTGGAAACTCGACTAAAGTAGTAACGTTTGTTTTGGGGGGAGTAATGTTTGTTTTTTTGATTAAGATTAATTACAAAGTAGTTTTGGCAGCTAACTGCTTGTCGCACCAAATAAGTCATGACAAATAAATGAAATGTTAAAACGCACGTGGAAAAAGAGGATGTATTTGGAACAAAAAGCGTGCATCAGACCAAGTGTAACGCTATGCTTCAAATTCCTCCCGACAGGGCCGCCTTAAAGCCCCAGAGCGAGGGCGCTGCGGCGGACGTTCTGCAGCTACAGGTTGAATGACAAAGAGTTCCCGTCAGCACCACTCCGGGCGTCTGCCAGTTGCAACGTCCCCTCCTCAAAGTCCTCTCAGACACTGCAGTCACGCCTAGGCTGCGGGGACTGCAGCTCGCTCAGGCCACTACCGCCAAGTCGCCAGGTGGGACAAGGATTGGCTGGCCGAGGAGGTTGGGGCGGGCGTGCCACGAGTCCAAAATAACTCCCGCCCCGAGTACCGGGAGAAAGCCGCCAGCAGTCTGGAGGCACCACGTGAATCGGCCTCACGTCGATCCTTTCCCAGATCAAAAGCAGCTCCGGAGCAGCCTACTTAAGGCTAGAGGGGAAGCGACTTCCCCAAGGTCACCGGCAGCTCGACCCCACTCCTCGACCAGGCCGGTGGCCCGCACCTGACAACGGGGCTGCAGCTCTGCTGGGAAAAGCGCTGTCCCCAGCGCCTCAGGGTCTCCTTCGCCAACGCTGCGCTCCGAGGCCACGTGGCTGCTGCGGCCAAGATGCCCCCGCCCGGCTGCCCCCCCCTCCCCCGGAGACCAAGCTCTCCACTCCCCCGAGGCTCCCTCCGACCCAGCCGAGGAGGCAAGGGCACCGCGGGGTCCCGGCCGAACGTGCGGCCGCCAGTTACCAACTAACCGTTATGCGCGGCTCGCGGCGCCGAGCGTGAACGTGACGCCGCAGCGCGGCTGGAGTCCCGCAGGGCCCAGGGTCCAGGTAGCGTCTTTCACCGGCTGCCTCGTCTGCTCGCCCGGGAGCCCACCCGACCGAGTAGTCACGTCGCAGCTCGCCAGCACTTTGTCGGGTCGGGCCAGCGAGGCTGCTTTATAACTGGCCGGGGCCGGAGCATGCGCACAGAGTCGGCCCTCCCGGCCACCGCCCCCTCCCCCCTACACTCACACACGAACCGCAACTCGCGCCTCCACAGCTCTCAGGCGCGCGCCTGCTCACTCTCTCGCGCGCGCTGGCGCCCCCTCCCCGCCACGTGACCGGCGGCCCGACAGGACCCGAAAGCTGCGCCCCGCTATGCAACGCCGACCGCGTTGCCGCACTGCTGTGGGGGACTCGCCCTTTCGGCCAGCCGTCGGAGGACCTCGGGGTGACCTACTCGCATCTGGGACACCAACGTCGATCTCGCCCTCAGTCTCTGCCAGAGAAAAGGGGGAAACCGCTAAGGACGGATGGGGCGTGTCCCCCGGCTCCTGACTCAGGTGTGGGGGGAGATGGGCGCGCGGAAGAGCGGGGAAGTGACTGGAAGTGGGAGACTGGGCGGGGTTTGAGTGGACGCGGGTGCACCTCCGACCCGGGAAGAGGCCGAGGGCTAGAGGTTTAGAGCGTGGGCTGTGGGCTCGCTGCTTGAGTTCTGTGACCTCGGGGAAGTCACTCAAACCCTCAGGGCCTGTTTCCTGCTCCCTAAAATGGCAACAGTAGTAGAAGCGACCTCAGAAGGGCTTTTGGTGGTTTTGAGAGAATTTATGGAATCTTCTTCCTACTGAGCCTGGTCTGTAGCATTTGGTGAATGGTGGGTATAAAGGCAGAAGTCGGGAGAGAAGGTGCTAGCACGTCTGACGGTGGCGACACTGGTCCCAAGGGAGGGTCTGTGTGTCGGAAATATGAAGAAATGAGACTGCAGAGAGGCCAACTTTTTATGGATGCTGAGGATTTGGGACAAAATATAATTATAGCTCGCAGTTCTGAAGGGCCGATTGTATTCTTAGCAGTCCACCTGAACTATCCTCACAACCCTATGGTGTTGTTGAAGTGATCAAATTAAATAATCCTGGAGTGCTTCTGATGTCTCCGAGGAATTTCTTTTGAGAAATGCCAAGAATGTACGAATCAAGACCCCTGCCTTACAAATTTTGGGGGAGGGTGAGTCAGGTAGAAATCTACCAACATTGACAAGTACTTGGAGCCTGCCCTGACCCTGCCCAACTCCCCTCCCCTCCCCCTCTCCTTACTTAATTCCCTCTACAACCCTGTGAGGTTGGCCTTCAGCTTTTTGTTTTGCAAGTGAGGAACCTGGATTGTGATGGAGTGGGGATTGAAGGATAAAATTCTGAATGCTTCCGTGTGCTTTCTTCCTCTCTCCCACTCTGACTCTGTTTCACACAACAAAAAGCTTTCAGTAACAGTTCAGCACATTAGAAGACAGTATGGAATCTATAGCCAAGTACTGCTTATAAGCAGTAATCGCTTTTTACCTTTGATAAATGCAGAGAAAATAATAAATGCAGAGAAGGAAGGCTCTTCAGGTGTTTCGGGTGGTCAGGATTTAGAACAGCAGTGCTTCAGGACTGTTAGGGTAGTAGCAGCATTCAGGGTAGATGGTAGGAGAGTTGAATTAGGGAGACAAACTAGGACTGGTTCAGAGGTGAACTATCAGGACCTGAACAATGGGATGTAGTGGTAAGTAGTAGAATAAGATGATTCCCAGGAAACCTCAAAAGAAGGCTTATAGAGGAGCATAGTGTGGTAGATTAACGATGTGGACCCAGGATCAGATCTGAATTCCAACTTTGATACTTGGCACTTAACTAGCTCTTTGTCCCTAGGCAAATCATTTTACCTCTCTGACCCTCCCTCATTCTCTGCTCTGTAAAACAAGGCCACTACCTTCCCCATAGAGTTGTTATGATAATAAAGTCAGTATTTACTTTAGTGTCTGGCATATAGTAAGCACTAAATAAATGTATAACCATGGAAAACCATGAAATTAATCCTAAAGATTAACTCTAAAGTTCCCTCACTTGGTCCTAACAGTGTAGTCACAGGATCATACTTAGTGTTGTATTGTAGTTTTGTATTCCTTTTCTTGAAGCTATCCACCAAAATTATATATACCTCAAGCCCCATAAAATCTGGATCTGCTCCTAGTAGGATCTGTAGTGTGAAAAGAACATAGGCTTTGGAATCAGACTTGTTCCCATAACTTCTTATCCCTGTTACTTTAGGCAGTTAATTCACTGACCTATTCTGGCCTCAGTTTTCTTACCAGATAAGTTGAAGGTAATATCTACCAGCCTGAGCTGTTGTGAGTCAAATAAGATAGTACTCGCAAAAGCAGTGAAACTTGGACAGTGCTCTACAAATGTTTATGAATTAATATTGGTATAACTTGTCCGTAAAGTGTATGAGGCAAAAATCAGAAGCATCCCCAAGGTGGGACTTCCTTCGCTGTCCAGTGGTTAAGACTCCGCACTTCCAATGCAGGGGACGCAGGTTCGATACCTGGTTGGGGAGCGAAGGTCCCACATGCTGCGCGGCCAAAAAATAAATAAAGGAAACAAAGTAAAAGATAAAAAAAAAGCAACTCCAGGGTTCTTAGCTGAAAAAGTAGAAACGGCGTGGGTGAGCTGGCAAAAATAATGAAATGACACAGGTAAAATTTTTGCTTTTCTGCCAGGTTTTCTTCCTGATTAATCCATGAGACACTGAAGAGGTAAACTAGTAAGCATAAGATCAGAAATTTAGAGCTAAGAGGAGGTTGAAGATCATCTAGCATAACCCCCTACATTTTACGGAAAGCGAAATTAAGGTCTGGGGAAGCTAAAAGGCTTTTCTAAGGCCACCCATCTAATAAGTGGCATGATC